GGGTCGGTAAAAGTCCCCTGAGGTGTCTCTCTCTGTCCCTATATATGTATGTGTGCCATTTTTGCTGAACATTTAAAATTAGATGAGAGTTGCTGAGCTTCTACATATGAAGCAGAAAAAGCTGAGCTACTTATGAAAAGTGAGAGGGAAAAAATGTATTTTTGGTTTGCCTTTCTATCAAAGCACTTCAAGAGCGTTCCTGAATGTAGAATCCAGGCCCTAACTTGTTATTCAGTCACTTACAATCTCTCTCATCCATAACAATGCAAAAAGAGCTAATAATAAACAGTACACCCCCGCCTTAGATACAAACATGCACACACAAACGCACACACTTAGGAACCAGTTGTAAATGAGCAACACTGATCCCATCTACTTTGTTGTCACAAAACTAGGGCAAGCTCTCTTTCAGTTAACTGCTTGCTGCACAGAACCTTGAAAAAAATTAACTACCCGGAGGACTTAGACACCAAGTTTTAACTTTCAGTTCTTTATCGTCTTTTCATTTCTTGATCAAAGACATATCTACTCACTACTCATTTGCTCAGAAATTAAACATGAAAAGAGAGAGTAATTCAATAACTCAGTGAAGAACATTGTGGGCAGTTAATGATTAATTAGCATTATAATACGAGACAGGCTGGTTTCACAGTAGAAGCTTGTTTTGATAGCAGTTTTTTTTTCTGTAGAGGAAATATCTAGGCTGGTGCAAGGACTATGCAAAATATCAGCGCCAAAAAGTTTCTTCTCTGTTTCTGAAAGACAGTAATTAGAAGTAACTAATAAACGCTCTGTGGACCAGGTGACTTTAAACTAAGACAGAGTCTTAGTTCTAGAGTCCAATCAACGCAAGTGACTTACAGCGGGCACTGTCCTCCTCCTTGGGGACAGGGTAGCAGTGGATATTGCTTAGGTGCTTGCCCACCTTGCATATCACTTCCACAATGTATGTCACTCACAAGGCCCTGTAGATTGGTTGGCAAAAAACCTGAAGTCAGGTAACTTGGACACATATCCATCTCTCAGCACACTTACAGGCTGATTTGGACATAGAAGGATGTCTCACCTATTGGATAGTCAAAGAAAAAGTTTAACTCCCAACTACTCCTTCAATAACTTTTTCCTAAAATGTTTCTTAGCTGTGCAAAATCATCATAGCTTATCCTGTTGGCTTACAGAAAAAGAAAACAATAAAACAACCACCAGATTTTTATAAAGTAGCTACTTATGCAACTAGTGGTGGCAGGAACACATGTCAAGCCAGGGTCTTAAAACAGATACCGGCAGAAAGAAAAAAGATCATAAAAAACTAAGGGAACACTGAGATAGCTGTCTATAGCAGATAATCAGCACATAATCAGCATAGAAATCCATTATAGTAAAGGGATTATTTAAATTATGAAAAGGGCATTATTTAAATGTCTCTGATTCTTTGTGTATATTTCTGACTTCAGTTTCGAAATAGCATAAATCCTTCACAGTTTCCAATGAAGGAGCTCCCTAAATCATTTGCTAACTACAAATTTTAAAACATCCCAAAAAAACAACGCAGTCAAACCCGATCCTGCCTGTTGCCCAGAGATTTCTGCGATTACTGTTCAAACTGAATTTGGACACTGCTGTTTAAAGTGTTGACACTAAGAAAATGAAAAGGAGTAGACATCGCTAAGCCTGTATTTCATCCCTTTCTGATTGTCTGTGGTAATAGTTTGAAGATACTTATTATTGCTGATAGGCATCAGACACCCGTGTACACCACTCTGTAGCACTGCCACCCTGTCCAACTGTGCATAAAATGAAAGTAACTCTGTGTTTCACATCTGTAAGGCCTACTTGAGTGAGTAAAGGTTTGGAGAATATAGTCTTTACAGTAGGAGCTTTCTCAGATGAAGGAAATATCTCCTTAGCAGTTCTGTAAAGCTGTATGCACACACCCCTACAATGCCAGTCATGCCTTAAATAATAATTACATGAATAGAGTCTTATTTACTGATAGTAGAAAAGAGTATTGCTTGCAAGTGCTCACCTGGGAGTTCCTGCTGGCTTCCAATACCTGCAGAAGAGATATTGCCCATCAGCATTGATGATATGGGGCAGGTCCTTATACGGGATGTTTAGAGGACTCCGCTTTGGTGAACTTTCCTCTGGCATTCTGGAAGAATGTCCTGCAAAGCGATGGAAGAAACAAGACATACTTTAAAAGAGACGAAGGCACGATAGTGGGTGAGGGGCTCAGTAGCCACAGACATTCAAGAAAGTCAATCAGTAAGGCAAACACCACTGATGGAAGTCTCTCCCCTACATCCCAGCCAAAGAGCCAAAAAAGTCTTTACTGCTCTAAAATCGAAGCCTCGCATTTTGTGATCAGAAAAGGCTCACATTTTGGGGGAGGGCATTGGAGGGGGGAAGGAGGGAAGAGAAATCCACCATCGCTACTTCATTACAGCTTTCTCTCCCCCACTTCTCCCATCTGTGTTTATTTTTCATCATTTTGTGAAACGGATCTTAAAAAGAATATTTTAGCTGCAATCAAGTGCAGATTGTGCAACAACCGCTACAGATATGAAAAGACAGCTGCATAAAAGATTTATCTCTGCCTTAACATCTCCAAAGAACAGCGACGGGTACGCAGCAGAGGTATCTGCCACTGTGTCATTATTATGATCTTCTCTGACATCTCAGACAGGAAGGTGATGATGGTGAGGAATGAAACATTTCCAGGAGAATCTGTAACAAACCTGTTTTCATCCTGTGCAAGGGTTTGCATTCTAGTGAGAAGCCGGCATCACAAGTCAAATGCAAGCAGATAAGGTTTTTTGCATCTTGCTGCAGAGATACATTACGCTCCACCAACCATACAGCCCCCACAGGTCCCTGCTCAGTCGCCGGATGGTCCCTCCTGGCCAGCTCCGGTGCGCTGTGCGGGCTGCGCGGGGCTCCTCTTCCCAGGCTTGCTCGCTTTTTAAGGAAAGTCGCTTGGGTAATTCACCACTTCTTTTTCATTTCATCACTTTTTCTCAAACAAATTGCATGTGTGGGCTGAAGAAGTGGCGGTGGTGGGAGGGGAGGCTGGGAGGGTGGGGGAGAGGGAGGGCTGATGAGTGGGAAAGCTGCAGTCCACTTTCCAGAAGCTGCTGCACACATCAAAGGCACCTTGAACACATGCAGCTGTAGCAGCCCAGAAAGTTACTGCTGCTGCAGGTTGTTTGCAACTTTACTTCCTTCCTGTCACTTACTGTTTCAAGGCCACGGCGAAGGGGGGGAAGTGGGGAGATCTTTTCTCAAAGCGATCTCTGCTGCAAAGCCATCTCGAGTGCAAACACAACTTCACCAGCCTCTAGCTGCGAGACGGGGGAGCGGGAGGGAGGGGAGGAGGAGAGATTCAAACACCAACGCGATCCCAGGTTGCAGGCAAGAGGGTGGTGATGCAAACCCCGCACACGCATCCTCCTGCCTCTGCAAGGCGGAAAGCCTCCCTGCTTCCCCGAGGAGAGCCGGTGCCCCGGGCCCGCCC